TGTGTGTGTGTGTGTGTGTGTGTGTGTGTGTGTGTGTGTTTCCGTGGGTGTGTGTACACAAATGCTATTTTGTTATATTGTGTTCCATATTATCAACGACTTCATTTGTGCACTCAGTTTCTTTTGGCAACAGACACTGTTTAACACTTTTGCATCTTTGCCTTCGGTAATGCAGTTAGTGAATGGATCTATGACAACGTATCACCTTTGGAGCTTATCAAGAAAGTCATGATCTCAATGGCGGAGGAAGTAATACTTAGTCTTGGGCCATCTACTTTCTCTATATGTACTGCCCAGGCAAAGCTGTATCTTGTGCTCTACTTCCGTCACCATCAATATCGATAAGCAGCCAAATAGGTTAGTTGATCACGTCCAACTATTAGTGCACCTAAGAGTCTCTCGATGGCAATAAGTATTATTTATTCATCTGATGCGCTTGCAAAACTGATTCGAGAGTGGACATTCATGGTTTCCCAGTCCACCTATCAAACAGACATAGGCATATTATATTTTCTACATCTATGCGCGAACAAAATGGCGACTGTGACTTGAATGTATGGCAAAAAATAATTGCACAGCATTGGAGAGAGGCTTTGGACCAGCTGAAAGGTGGCTATGTTCGACTCATGTACTGATTGAAATGCAAAAAAAGCGAATGGTAAGGTGTGTTAGAATCTCCACACAAGACAATCCCTGCTGAATGAAATACAATGTAGGGAAATACAACAATTTCATCACTTTAAACGGCACGAGACAATAGTGAAAGAGGTGCTTGAAGGAAGGATGGGGGGGGGGGGCAGGAGAGCCAGGGAAAGACAAAGAGTAACGTGGATGAACAACATAAGAACATGGACTAGCCTGAATATAGCATGCAGAATGTGTAACGGCAGCTCGCAGCCACGAAGGCAGAATGAGGGTCATTACACGCCAATCTCTGAGTCAGAGATGACACCTCCAGGTATCCAGGTATACTGACTGAAACACCATCTCTATACAAAGTTCTGCGTTGGCGACTGTGGGCAGCGTGAGTGTGGAGCCGGCAGCCAAACAGAAAAGCAACCACTACAAGCCTACTCAAACCTTTCGGTACTTCTGAGAAGAATATAAGTATTGTTATTGGCCCTACAAGAGTATGCAATGTAAGCTATTGTTTTGTTGTTGTTTTAGTTTAAGTTTTCGTAAGCGTTTTACGGCACTTGCAACACAATAAGGTCACTTAAGTGCCGAAAAATAGATATGTACAAGACAGTAACATACATAAAAAAGGAAGACAGATAAGGGCGACAGATGTTTGAAAGAAAAGAAGGAGCAAACCTAATCAGAGCACGCACCAACCATCCACATTGTTGTTGTTTGTTTGATTTTTTATGTTTTTTTCATTTTATGTACATTATTTACAACAACAAAAAACATGACGTGAAAATCTCTTTTCACAACGCTTCGGGAAGGGGAAAGTCTCCACTGAAGTATGTACAGTTACTGAAACTGGGACTCTGCGGGTTACTTCCGGGTCCCGTGACGTCACCAACCTGATCGCCTCGGCAAGGGAGAGAAGCCAGAGTATTTGTGGAAGGTGGACAGCCTTTTGGTGAATGACCTCCCTTAGGCCTACACTTCTGTAATTCAGCGCCGTCATGATCAGCCGTGTTCCCCTCGCACGTCTCCGATTTCGTGACATCATCATTCAATGCTTTTCTCTCCCACTGTTTGATGTCGTCATCGGTAGTCGTGTGCGCCCTATCAGAGGGGGTGAGAAGATCTTGTTGTGAAACCGCGACAGATGAATTGGAAGATGCCCCCCTCCCAACGAACATGTTCCGGTAACCCGTTTCTTTTCCGTCTCTGCCGGAGACGGACAGTAAGTTCTGTGTTTTGTTCTCCGTTTCACTTTCACCTGTCGTAGTCAGTGAGCCCTGGCCGCTAAGTTTGCAACCGGCCGGGTCTTCTTTTAACCTCACCTGGAGATCCTCCACACAGCAGTGACCATTGCCGTCTGCTGAACTCACAGCATTAGCGACAGCAGCCGACAATTTTTTCTTCATAGTAAGGTAAGCGTTATCTGCCCTTGAATGAGTGGACAGACGGCGGCACTCTTCCCCGTGTGGTAAACCAAGATGGCTGCCGATCTTGGAGTCAACTTCCGCTTCCTTTCGTCTGCCCGAGTTGCTGGGAAACTCTGTTCCCAGGCTTTGGCAGCACTCGTCGCTGTTGCAGCTGTTGGCGGGAAAGGTTGGGGTCTTCGTGGCTGTTTGCTCGCTTCTGTGCTGTACATCAACATCTCTGAGATACTGAGGAAGGGGGG